ACATGCACAACCGGAAATCATCAAATCATATGAAGATAAACAAAGGGCAAATTATTAAAAACAGCTGGCTAGATGCCAAAGCTCAGAATCAGTACGGCAACTAGTGCGATGAATAAGGTCGCATTAGTTACATTCGCCCTCCACTCACGGCATGCGTTTGCCAATGGAGTTGATCTATACAGTCTCAGCCTGAACGTTTTGTGCCTGGTTTGTGCGAAGCAAGCAAAACATAATCGTGCTAACGAATTGAATGATCAAACATTCTTGAAAATCTATAAGTTAATTTGTCGATTGAGGAAAAAGGGTAGACGCTGGCAAAGATAAACTGTTTCAAGCGGATTTAGAACAACACCCCCGAGAAGAATGACGGATGTTAGCGAAATACGCTCATTTGCAAACAAATTTGGTTTTGCGAGAGACCCGCCTGGGAACATCACCAAAGACAGATTCGGTTGAGTTACAGATGAGTTTCTAGAAAAACCTAATTTCCTTGCAAATGAGTGTAGGTCACTAATTTCGTGCAATTTGGTTTCAAGTAGAACGGAAACTCGGGGACTGCGCCTACCTGATGAGACTCAAGTGGGGCGAAACTGGTCGTGGGCTCTTGAAGAATTTTCATCAACCTAATGAGTAGTATTTTACAAATGACGGATTGTATTGCACTAATCTCAGACGTCAAGAGTAAAAGGCGAACAGTTAAATTGTATCATTTTCTTTGAGTAAGACCTTAGCTCGAAAAAAGACGAAGTCAAAGATGGAAGTCCAACTAGAGAAGCCATGTTTACGCAGTAAAAATTTCAATAACTGAGATAAGCTACGAGGACTCTCCTCGACATCTACGAACCTGTTCTGCGCAGTGAATCAAGTAGTGGTCAAACCGTTCAAGACTGCTAACGCCATGCGCAAGTCACTTTGTGACTTACAAACTGAGCTAAGCATTGATACAGGACTGCAACCGTTGGTGTGAACTGTTGCACAATATTTCAGCAGAAAGCAACTTAAGAATACAGAATGCGCAGTGAATCAAGTAGTGGTCAAACTATTCAAGACTGCTAACGCCATGCGCAAGCCACTTTGTGACTTACAAAAAGAGCTAAGCATTGACACAGGACTGCAATCGTTGGTGTGAACTGTTGCACAGAACGTTTCAGCAGAAAGCAACTTAAGAATACAGAAATGTTCTCTTTCTAAAAAGTGGCATTGAAAAGAACTCGAGTTAGATATGTATAACTCTGATTTGTGGATTTCTCAACAGCACTTCTGGATTAGCTGCCGTAGCTATTCGGTTTTACCTCGTGCTGGTCACAATCGATATGGTCAGTTGTTTCCCGTCGCATATGCTCACCGTGCTGTTGTGATCTATTCCGTCTCACTGGGACCAGATTTAGAACAAGTGAACCAAAAATGCACGCAAAAGTATTTCACGCTTGAAATTAACAAGTATGAACGGCCGCTACCCTTGCAACGGTGATACTACTAATAGGGAGGCATGCGAGTAGGGTGTTTTCTTCTTGTAAATTCGCTTTGCGTCTCTTGAAAAGGGAGATCTATTACGGAATTTGTGGAGTCGCTTTGTAGCATTAGCTTGAAGTTGAGAAACAGTCAATCAATATCCAGGAAAGTTCAAAAAGAGGCGTTCAAGGAGAAGATGGATATTCAGTTTTTGTAAACAAGATGCACATGAGAGTTTTGCTTCCTTGTCCAATAGTCTGTAACTGGTCAGTCGACATTTTCTAATAAACAACTCTGTAGCGAAGGCATTTTTCCTTTCATACGTATCAATGCAAAGCACAGTCAGAGTGTATTAGGGATGTCCGCTTTAACCTGCGTTGTTATAAAGTAACTAGCAATAGAAGGTGGCCGTTTATCAGGCCATGACTATAAAAAGCAGATTGTTCTGGTCGAGGATGTCGAGTACGAAAGCTGAGCTACAATATTAAAGCGCGGAGGGTGTTATGTTGTTTTTTTATTATGTGAGACTCTCATAGATGTTATATGAACTGGGTGGGTTTGTGCCTACGGCTTAGATAGTACAGGACCTTCACTTTACGCTGGAGAAAGACACTAACCCTTCATCAGGTGACCAATGCGCGTAATCAGCAGTTTTCGCTCAGTTGTACATGACTGTTTGGGAATACTTCAACTCTGCCAACCGTTTCTTTCTTTCCTCTGAGAAACACTTTACAGTCGCCTCATCAGACTCCTCAGCAGCATGAATCTCACGAACCTTACAGAGTTTCGAACTCCTGACCATCTAGTTAGTAGTATGAACATGTACCCGTTTGACCACGAGTAACTGATCAGCAGTTTCCTATTGGTTGGAACCCACATAACTTTTTTCCAAAATATAAGTATATATATTATCCCGTAAAAACGTCAAGAAACGACCTCTATGCACCGAAGGTTGATAGTGTTCTGGTTCGGTAAAAAAAATAATTTAACTATCGTTAGCTCATATTTGGGTCGATTTTGTTACAGAGAACCTCGTAGTCTATTGTTACTGCTAAAAACAAGTCTGAATAGTCACGTGCACACATCTTACCGCAGATCGTTAATGGTTCTGATGAGGCCAGTTTACCCTAAAAAACTAGCCATGATAGGGTAAGTAATGCTCACCTTAGTTGTGCAAATTCGAACATGGGTGTTGAACAATAAGGCACTTAAAAACGAGTTAAACCCGGTATCGATCTAGTCTGCTTGGTCATACTGCTATAAGGCACTTAAAAACGAGTTAAACCCGGTATCGATCTAGTCTGTTTGTTCATACTGCTCGAAAAACTGAGTGAATTGTGATGCCCTTGAAATGACAAGGCAAGTCATGTGACACTGATTATCAAGCGTCTTCTCAGTCAGTATAAATAGGGAAAATCAACCCGGGTGAATAATCAGACATTCATCGCTTGATACGGGTGTATAGGAGAACTTCATATAACAGCGGTGTCCTGTTGTCCAAAATCTCTGCTTTTTTATGAAATCCTTCGAGGTGAGAGAAAATATCATAATTGACATGATCTTTCGAATAGGGTACCTAACTGACCTAACCAAACTGAGACGTTTCCAGAAAAAGTCGGGGAAGAATAGGTGATGTGATTTCCGTTGGCGGCTTATTCGAAGTGTTTATCTTATGGATAGGCGCAAGGCTCGTTTGGGAGTTAATCGATATGCTTTTTTCGAGTGGAAAAAGCCTAATTTTGATAGGTGACCCCGGGATCGATTCACTGCATTTGTGCATCTCAGTTGAAGATTCAATTCAGCGAACAAAATCCTATTTGTTTAGGAAACACAACTGCAATCTTTGTGTGGCAAAAGCGTATTTGCAAAGTAATACATTCAAAACTTCTCCCAAAATTTAACACGTTTCCTTTTCCCAAAATTTAACACGTTTCACGTGGACAATCTGTGATCGGATGTGTCCGAAGTTCATATTTTTGGTGGAATTTTTTGTAAGTATGGACTTAATGTTGCCAAAAAGAAAACCGATTGGGAAGAACGCACAAAGTTGTGTACGGTGACCCGAAACGAATGGTGGAGTATCCACAAAGTTAGTGAGTTATACGGGCCCGGGAAACTGAATTACTATTCATGGGCCAGACAGAGCTTGTGGAGAGACATGGTCAGGTTCGATTTTAGAATAATTTTGAGCATTGAGTAGACTTGAAGGTGGAGTAGTTTGAACCATACACCACATGACCATCATAAATTGGATGCGATAGAATTTTCTAACCAATATTTGTTCTCAAAGCTTGTGGAGAATATCCATTTGGTTAGATTTTGAACTGAACTACGCCGAGAAATGGCTTTTGAGGCTGGGCACACGTCTGGACACTGACCACCTGTCACCTAGAAAGTGGCGTTTGAAACCTGATCTCACAGTCTGACATTTCTGGTCGGATTACAAATGACTCGACTTGTTAGTAAAAATTGCCTTACCGTGACGTTGTTTATCCCTCTTGATGAGAAATAATTGTGACATGTGAACAAGCGTCAAGTAACAATTCACGCAAGAAAATGAGCAATGCTCAACCCAGTCACATCAGGATCGATTGTTCAACAATAGAAATTGGTGCTCATGACTTCTGCGTATGAGTTACGTAGGTTGCGAATTTGTTGGTTTCAGTCACCTACTGAGCTGACTTATTCAATGTGGACGACTAGAAAAATGATATTCACAATTTCTTCGAGCACCTTATCACTGATCTGTTGTGTTTTCTGACAAATTCGACCTAAGGTCATCATTCCCTCGGTAGCAGATAGGGTCAGCCAAACACCCAAATAAAGAACGCTAAATGCATGCATCATGCGATCACGGAACAAAAGAATTCTAACGACCGCAATCTTTCGGTGGTTTTTACATAAAACCCCGGAACCAAATGCCTTGGAGGTTACATTACTTTTGACTTTGTCGACATTGTCCGCTGCTCACAGAGCGTTCTGAGTAGAGTATCCAGATTGCGCGTGCTCTTGACTGCCGGAATACTGTGATTTAGCGAAGCTGATCTACAGAAAACAGGCCATTTGAAACTTTTCGCCATGGTTAATTCCGGCTCGTTTGACTCGAGTGTCGCTATACTGTCTCCATAACAGCAATGTCAGTCCAGTCCAGTCCAGCCACTTTACTTCTTATAGAGACAGCTCATATGTTGAGCCTCGACCAGACGGTGCTCTTTTTGCCTGTTCATGACACCTCCGTCACTCAAACTCTGCTGATGTCCCTTGAGTTCGGTGTGCTTTGGAAGCCTAGTGGATGAGCGCCTCTCACCCCGAGGTCAGATTCAACTGTTTTTAACCTCAGAAGATTTGGGCAACTAAATTTACAGAGTTATGCTTTTGTCTGAGTATTATTGGTACGTTAAACCTATTGACACTGGACGAAGTGCTCTCTGGACCAATCGAAAATAAGCAGACGAAACACAAATTAGAATAAACACTTGGTTGACAGTGCTTGCCCACTGCATTATTGAATTTGCTCAAATTTATAGCCCGGACGTCATTCTCGTAAGTTGCTTGGGCTCCTGGTTCATATGACGAAGACGACTACTGGATTCAAACCGTAAGTTGCTTGGGCTCATATGACGAAGACGACTACTGGATTCAAACGGTGGATGAATTCCAAAGAAGCCATCTTCCAGGATCGTCCGATCTTCTGCATTCGAAATACATAGCAACAGTTGTTCTACAACGTGAGAAGCCATAATTTCGAACAACCAAACCAGTCAGACAGTATCTACTGTAAATTCTTGTGCGAACTGGCCTAATTGAGCAAATTTGCTCCCGGGTGTCAGAAATGGAAATTGATAGGCTCTGTTTTCGTTTGTGAGTAATTTTAAACTGGGCGTAATTCATGTATACTTCCAATCCTATCGTTCTGTCAGAAAGGGAAAGGAGGTGACACTAACTTTTCCCCCTTTTGAATACCTGTAAAAAATAAGAGTAGCATACCATGACATGCTTGTGTGAATTCAAAATGCGCGAAATATCAGTCGTCTTTGATCACTACTATCGGATTTCACTTAAACAACTCAAGGCGCGACTTTCCCACAAGTCGGCTCATTGACTGTACCTGAAGCCTAAGTTCGAGATGAACATTTTCCGACCACGATCGGGTGTGGAACGTTCAAAAATGTGTTGGAAACTTTAGGTACATGTGCTGTTTTTTTAAAACTCTCGCGTCAAGACCGCGTCAGTGCGGATTAAGTAGCATGGTTGGAGGAATGAGGAGAGCTGACAAGAAATACAGTAACGAACTAGTTTGTTCATGGAGCTAAACTCTGCGGACGACACTGTGGCAGTTGTGATGGTTGGTGGTGATAATGATGACAATGATGATGATGATGAGAATGAGGATGACGATAACGACGATGGAAATGGTGATATTGAAACGACTGATTCTGTGGAAGCATGGGTCAGTGGAATGCAGAACAACCCTTTATCTTCGGCGTTATCAGCAAGGATAACTGTTTTCGATGATTTTTCACGATAACCTTTCTTGTTTAATGGCTCATGTTTACCCGTAATTTAAAAAAGACACCCGTCCTCAACGGGAAATAATATACAATTTATTGACCAGCTTAGGTATTCGTTTCAACTCAAGAGGCAAATTCTACTGCATAGTTGAGATGCTGTTGAGAAGTAGTCAGATACGAATAAAAAACTATTGATCTAGCGCAGGGAGCACGCCGGTAGTGAAATAAATCGACGTAAACGACGAGGAGTCGTGAAGTTTACTGACAATGTTTGCATCAAACCATAAATGCTTGGCCTTCCAAAAGGTCAAATTCACCAACGAATAAATCGAGTAACTTAAGGCCTTCTATTTGGTCCAGTGCTGATTGACTTAGTTGTTCCTAATAGCTGCACGATGCTAGTCAACACGATCAGATGAGTTGCAACCCACAGTCACATGAGTACAACCCAATCAAACTATATTATTAACCGCCTGGCAGGGAAAAGCACTTCATTCACACGTGAAATGCAACAGGAAGAATAATTTCCATTCCTTGGTGTGTTACTGGCAAGAACGCAATAAGAATTTATATCACGACCGGGGTACCGCAAACCAATTTGGGCTAATAAGTAAATATGCATGGTTTTGCCGGCTTCGTGTGCCAAGGGAAGCTCGCAAGACAAAACTGCGAAAATCTGTCCGGAAAACACGTTGAAGAAGAAGTAATTGATTGAAACCACTTGAAACAAGACCTTCGAAATATCAAACTCTTCCTTTCAGGGATCTTTAATCGAACTGAAGCCACCCCCCTGAATTGGTTAATTTAACTGTCTACGCACTTCCTGAAAATGCATTGGTTCGCCAGTGGGAAAAGTAGAAAATTGAGATGCCTAAACTTCCTGCTATCGGTTTCGGTTCACCGCCATGCTGTCTAGCACGAGGGAAAATTTATTCAAAGCTGAGAATTGTAAAGACTCTAAGCTGCTCACATAAACGGATTTTTCGAATTTCTAACGATTTGCCCAGCCACTTTCCAGTAACGCAGCGAACTTAGAGTGAATTAAGCTCATTATTTGGTGCTTAATTAAGGCCCATCCATACTACGAAAAGAGCCAATCGAGGAAGTCGGTTGAATGGCAAACGGGGCAAGTGACCAAGCCGGTGTAAAATCTATGTCGGAGTTATCACATATGTGCGCTGAACTAGTGGAGACTGTTTGGTCAGCAAACAAAAACTCAATGTTGGTAGTGTGAGGAGATTTGGGATTTTTGTGGAAATTTCGTCCTGTAAGTGAAGCCAATCCATGCCGGAAAGCCGACGAACACTGTACAGCTGTTTCATCCTTATTGGCAATCATCAGCAGTGCGCATCTCACGAAACTCCGGAGAGTCTCGAACCCGCGACCTCCCGGCTAGT